TAGCGCCTTTCTGGACACTCAAAGCGCTTCACATATGGCGCTTTTCCACTGCATAGTACGGTACGGTTCGGCGCAGTACGCTTCGACTCGGAGCGGAACAGTTCGGTTCGCTTTGCGTTTCCACTACAGTAGTACCCCTTCAAAGTGTGTGGGACTGATCGTTATTTGCGCGCACCTCTACTGCCATGACATCATCTTAAAAGCGCCACATTTTCAAACCCACAACACAGGAACAATGGAGACTATCGAGGGGATGGTGTTCCTGATTCTCGGTATGTGGTTGTTTTTAACTGCTAGACGGAAAAATGTGTTTAAAATGAGGCTGATGGCAGCAAAACAAAAATACTGCTAAAAAAGTGTCTCGTGTCGCAAATCCAATGACGCTAGTAGTGACGCTGGTAGTGACGATTCTGTCTGACCAATCAGTGATCTGCAGTGTTTCACGTCACATTTTAGTACCGGTACGGTACGCTTGGAACCTCAACAGACCAGGTACCATTTAAAGCGACCTGAAGCGAACCGTACTGTACCGTACCATGCAGTGGAAAAGCACCACAAGTGAGCCGTACCGAACCGAACCGTACCATACTATGCAGTGGAAAAGCGCCTATTGAGGGGGGAATCTCCTCAACCACCACCAGTGTGCAGCATCCACCTGGATGATGCGACGGCAGCCATAGTGCGCCAGAACGCTCACCACACACCAGCTTACTGGTGGAGAGGAGACAGTGATGAAGCCAATTGGTATATATGGGAATGATTAGGAGGCCATGATGGACAGAGGCCACTGGGCAAATTTGGCCAGGATGCCAGGGTTACACCCCTACTCTTTCGAAAGACATCCTGGGATTTTTAATGACCACAGAGAGTCAGGACCTCGGTTTAACGTCTCATCCGAAGGATGGTGCTCTTTGACAGTATAGTATCCCCATTACTACTGAATATAAATTTCATGATTTGATTCAATTTTGATTAACAAGCTTGTGAGCTGAATCAAATTCGATTCTCAAAATCTGTCAACTATTGTTGTAAACGATACAAGGAACCACAGTTGATACATTACTATAATAATAAAGGGTTAAATAAACTGACTTGCACTTACATTTAAATTACAGAAAAGAAAGTATAGAGTTCATAAAGAAACCATAGAGTAAATTTTTTTGGCCGATTAACATGTTTGTGGACATTAAATGGCTTTTCTGAGGTAAATGTAACATTATGTGACATTGTTTACAAGCTTTTAAATTTTATTGGTGTCTTTCCGTGGTTGAAACATCAACAGTGATCTGTCACACTACATTAAACAGCACTAAGAGGTATTTATTTTTTTGAACATTGTAATAAAATTGACAGAATTTGAAAGATGTGACTTTGTTTCATATCAAAAGTAACAAAGCACAAAACTTATTGTGATTTATTGGATGGGAGGCACACTAGAAAGTTGTTCATTCATCAACTAAAAACAGCATAGACTAAAAATCGATAGAATCGATAGCGGTTCATCGAAATGAAAAATTATTAAAATGGAGAAATCTATAATCTATCTATCTTTTACCCAGCACTAATGGTTCTGAGATGAAACGATTTTGGTGAAAATTGAACCAAGTGTCTATGTAAACGAAAAGTTTTCAAGGAAATGAAAATTGGCGGACAGCAATTTCAGCCAAATATGGCATAATTTGTATCATTGTTCATTGTATGACTCAAGGAATCTGTCAATCTGGTTGGATTACTATTGGGTTGCATTAGATTTAGTAGTTTTGTGATTTTTGGGCAAGAAGTTATTAGCAAAAATGTAAATATTTAATTTGATGCTGTGTCAAAACAATGCAAGTAGCCTCAGGTCATGCTTCTGATGACATGTACTAAGATTTGCCAGAATAAGTGCAAGCTTTGGGGAGATATAGCCTCGAAATTTGACATGTTCTTGGTAAAATTCAATGATTCAAAAGTTATAATCATAAACATGAGTGCAAATGTGGACAGTAGATGGTGCTAGAGGGATTGAGTTAGAGAATTGCTGTGGAAATGATGAAATTGTACCTATGCCAAATTTCACAACTTTCCAGCAATAGGTTCTATGGGATGTTATAGACACAAGAGTGTAAGTGAAAAATCATTTTCGCCTTTGGAGCAGAACTATAGGTGAAAAAATAGCATGGAAATATCATAAACTTCTTTGAAAGCTTTGGAAATGAATGGTTTCATTTATAATCTCTTATGATCTAAAACCTGATGTTGGTCACTCTGGCCACCTTTACATCTTGCATTAAAGGATTAGAATCAGTTAAAGGATTGTTCATCTGCATAAATTGAGGTCATTCAGAACAGAGAACACAAATCCCATAACACCCGATGTACTTGTTCATTAGAAGAATGGCATCTGCTTATATTAGTCTCTCTGTTTCATCCTTATCCCTAGGTCACCATAGTCAGCCGGATCCGTTACATATCCAGTTAAGATGGTGGACCTGCTCCTAGTGACGACCACAACATACCTGAATGCCAGCAGAGACCATTACAACTATGCAAGCCCTAGAGACCGATCCCAGGTGAAGACCTTGTTGACATGACAGCCATTGGCACAGATCCTCAGCAAAGACCACAAGAACCGGACCCTATGGTCAGTTCGACTTCTCCCCAACGTGCATTTGTAAAAGTAGAAATGACTTTATGTATACTTTTATAGATATTTTGGAGCACCCAACTCCACCCCTACTACCACGTTTCAACTAATATACTTGTTCCAAGTTCCAATTTTACCGTTTATCATGACTCACTAAAACATACCGAATTGTGTAGATGTAATTTTAGATGTAACATACTAAGCTTGCACTGATTATTCCCAGCCTATAATTCAATGAATCACTATGTGGCAGGTATAAGATATTAGATTTTCTGGGTTTTAGATTGGAGATTTGAGCCATGTTCTTTAGTCCAGTGGTTCCCAACCTTTTTTTGTCTGTGACCCCCTTTTTCCCAAGAAAATATTTTAGGGCTCCCCTTCACATGATATTATCGCTATTGTAAGCTTGCAGCAAGGATAACAAAATATGTTGGTTTTTTTTCAAACAAACGGTATGTTTATGCACAAATAATAGCCTATAATATTGAAAATACAATGACTAAAACATCAGTAGGCCCTTTGTAATTTAACAACGTAAGCCTAGGAGAAGCCTATTAATTGGCCCTATTTGAAATGGAAAAATAAAAATATTCACACTGGTGTTTAGGTAAAAAAAAAAGAATATCTGCTATTAAATGACTGTTGTCTGGGGCCTCAATACTTGCATGTTATCTGTGAGGCTTTATCAATGTGAGGCTTTATTTTTACGCTTTTGGCGCTATAGCGAGCGATAATAAACGTGCATTTATTAACAGAATAATGCGTCTTTCGGAAAGAACAGTGTAGCCGGAACTACTTCTCTCTGTGTACGTCTATGACGAGTCACGCAGACTGTAGTACTCCGCAGCGGCAGCGATCCGAACCAGTGTAAAAGAGTCCCAATGTAAACACTTATTATAGGTGTACCATAGTGGTTCAGGATAAGACAAAAACACAGATTGGAAAATGGATTCATGATGAAATCACTCATTATATACATTTTGTAAATTTTGAACAGAAAAAAGTTAAGGACTTTTATTTAATGCTCATTGCTCAAACAGCTCGCCCCCCAAAGAGAGCTCGCTGAGGCCCCCTTGTGGGCCGCGACCCCCCTGTTGGGAACCGATGCTTTAGTCCAACAAGTGAAAATTTAACAACCTAGCATTGGATGGTGTAAGGTATGTTCGTAGGAGAAGCACGGCAGGGGTATTGGGGATGCATATCTGCAGAAGGTGTTTGAAGGATCTTCAAAGTTGCTGGCACTTTGAAAATGGACCAATACTTGGAAATCCTACTGAACAAAATGTAGCCAATTGTGGAGGATCTGTTTGGAGATGAAAATCAGAATGAAAGTGTTCATGCCCAGCATTTACGTCTTCAAGCGGCCTACTCAGTCCCTTGACCTCAAAGCCATTGGAAATATTTGGAAAATGATAAACCTGCATGCAGGTCTTCCAATGAAGCTCAACTTTAGGAAGAACTTAAGGAGGATTGGAAAGTAGTTAAAAATGACATATGAGTAAAGTTTAGCGAGTCAATTCCCAGAGGAATGCTGTTATCAAAAACAAGGGAGAACCAACAAAATATTATTAACTGCTTACACTGTAGTTGATTTATGCTTTATTTCCTGTGAACTTTTTGTTTTCCTATGCCTTCTTTGGCAAAAAAAATAAATAAATAAAATAAAATAATTAAATGCTGGAGTTTGGCTTTTTTGCCAGATCATTTTGTCATTTAAAGTTTACTGTAGTCTTTAGTCTTTACACAATATAAAGTTCTCATATTTGGTTGTTTAATTGAATCTGAAGTGAATGTTGTGCAAATCGTGAGCTTAGAATTATAAGGTTCTATCTCCACTTTTTCGAAATTGAGTTTTTGACATAATCTGATCCATTAGGTGTTTATTAATGCCTGTGTGGTGTTATTTTTGTAAAAAAAAAAAAAAAAAAAAAAAAAAGATTAATAGATAAAGCTATAATAGAAGATTGTACTACATAACAGTTTTGCCAGCTGGGATGTAAAAACTTTGATGCTCAATATCTCAGAACTACCCTAAACGGAGATAGAAGCTTATAATTCTAAGCTCACGAAATATCCTCTCCGGACACAACTTTTGGCCACTACTACAAATGGTTTAGGGGTAGGTTTAAGGGTAGGTATCTAGGTTATGTGCTCAAACATGTTTAAATGGTGTAATGTAAAAACAATTACAGTATTGTGGCTGTATACAATGTCACAATGGTAAAATGATACCCCAATATATTGTTGTAGTGTTAGTTAAGTAAATATAAGTTTGAGATACAGTGCAGAGCGTTTCTAAACTGATTTTGCTCTTCAATCATTATTCATTAGGTACAAGAAAACCAGGAAGAAGATCAACAGAGTCGACAAAAAATGAATAGATGCTATATGTTATCTTATATTTTACATAAACAAAACAACAGTACTAATTTGTGATTAAGTGGATCTTTTGGATCCTTTTTTATTACATGGTCAAAAACTAGCCACAGCAAACAACTACATTTGACATCAACACAAATAGCATGAGAAAGGAGAAAATGTACACCTGAGAAAAAATAAAATAAAATCTGACGGCTGTATTTACAGTAGTGTTGTCCTTTCTCTCACCTACTTTACAGCTTTCTCCTGCTCATTTAGGCACTAATGTTTTCCTGCAAAAATTATTTTGGTCATATAAACTGTTTTAAGGATTTCATGATGGGTGTACATCATCTTGGTAAACAATTTCAGTCTAAACCTATTTTTAACCACAGTGTTACTACAGGTTTTGGCTCCATTTCACAGGTAGACACTTACATAAAGGTAAACAGAATGTTAGACAAGAAATCATCATACAGTCAAGCCAATACTTTACAAAACTGTAGGTCTGCACAGGAACTCCACAAGTTTTAATAGCTATGCCAGTGATGACATCTCTGTAAGATTTATTAAACTTTTGCATTGTATATAAGGTCAAGGTCAAATGTATGCTAACACTGTTAACTACAGTATATGTTCAATATAACTTAAAATAAGAAATTGTATTCCTTTATACAATTTCAATAAAGCATTTTGTCTTGTTTTTGAAAAAAAAAATGAATTACTTAGGCAAATCTCTTTAATACATTTTTAAGACAGTAGCTTTTTAATGTCATACTGATGCCCCTCAATGCACACGTTTATAGTTTTGGTCCTGACTTTTTAGTTCAGTGTATGTTTATCTGTGTATTTGTGTATACAGTGTAAATGGCTGGTGCAATCTTTCATGCATGCTCTAATACAGTACTACACATACATTCTTGGAAAAATATATGCATTTTTGTCACAAATTTGTAAAAAAGAGTGGAAATGTATTTAAGTCTTAAGCACCACTGATGGTTCTGTTAAATACAAAGAAATATTACATAACATCATTTAATGTCCTTGCATGGATTCTTTTTATGCTAAATTTACATTAAATAGGAAAGAAAAATAAAGAAGACTGCTTGTTACTCTCCATGTGTGTGCCATAGATATGTTTTTGTGGTCTGTTTTCTTTTTTGTACTTGTCCATGTTTGGAAGTAACATTTGCTCTAACATCTCACTCTCTTACACTAGTGATTTTCCCCCCATCAATTCAGTTCATTCCAAAGCACATTTTACACTTTGGTCAAACAAACAAACAATGAATGAATCAATCAATCAATCAATCAATAAAATAAGTAAATAAATGTGCAGATCACTGCCAAAATTAGAAAAGATTAAATGTAGGCAGAGAAACATTTTTTCTTAAAATCTGTCATTTAGTTTTAGTAACTAAGAGCAATAAGGAGGAATGGAGCACTTTCTTAAATTCTGAAGATTTATGATCCTGGTGAAATAATAAGAGTTTCCAATCTTGCTCCTGGAGGGACCACCTTCCAGGAGAATTTAGCTCTAGTCCTAATTAAACACAACTAAAACTTTAATCAAGGTCTTTAGGGTTACTAGAAACTTCCAAGCAAGCAGGTGTGTTTGAGCTAAATGCTGCAGGAAAGTCAAAGTGGACCCCGGGAGCAGGATTGGACACCCCCGGTTATACATCATTTATAATCTACTAATAAGCATATATTATAAATGAAAAAGCAGACACCCTGTAGATGTACAAAGAAATATCACAACATGAAATAATTCAAACAGAAATCAGAAAAAAATGGAACACTGATCGTACTGAACTTTCTTAGAGCAAAACAAGATAGGAACAAATAATTGTTTCAGAAAACTATTGGCTACATGCTGATTATTTCTCTTGCACTTTTTGTCATACCAATAAAGCATACAATTTACTGAAAAATGTCTTTGTTTTTGTGTTAAAACGAGACTTTTCAGCTACATCTGATAAGAGAAGAGCAGGCCTAGCAACGTTATTTTCCCTCTAATTTGTAGTTTTATAGTTTTTACTGTCTCCCTGTTTTTAAACCATTTATCTTCTCATTGTTGTTTTCCATTAAATGCATGAGACACATGGTTTAACCTTCATATTGCTAGTGTATCAGCTCCAATGTTTTATATAATTCTCAGTGGTGGTCATCATCAGTTATTAATTGAGACATCCCGTTGTCCAACACTTAGGTCCTCAAACTGTTTTTTTTTTTTTTCAATTAAGTGTTTGTAGCTCAAGGGTAGATTGTTTGTAGTGGAAATGTACCTAGACCTAAACTAGTCCAGTCTGCATGTGTATATGTAGTGGATAGGGGTGGTATATAAGTTGGGACTGGCCATTTGAAATGTAATAGTTAGTGAAGTTGTGGTCTGTCATGTAAGGTGCAGGCTGGTAGTAGCAGGTAACATTATTGGCATTAGGAATGATATTCTGCTCACCCAGAACTTTGAGTGCTAGAATGGTAATCATATTGAGAGTCTGACGGCGCTCATGCCCCATCAAGCACACGGTGCTCTCATTGACCACTCTCCGAAGTGTCATCAAGTAATCATATTTGCTTTTCTCTTCTCCAATAAAATGGTTGCGCAGATATGATTCAATCTTGCGCTGCTGCTCGTTCACATCAGGGAAGTCAATAAAAAAACGTGAACACATGTAGCGCTCAAGTGTCTTAATTTCAGTTTCACAGGCAGGTTTAAAGTCCCGGACAAGCAGATTACTGTACTTGAGCAGGCCTCCACCCCTGATCTCTTCAGGGTTGCGTGTTGCTATTAGCCGGTAACGTAGGTGATCCATAGCCTGCTCAAAGTCGCCATACATGCTCTCAGCCATCACTGTAATGCAAGGCAACTCTTTAGAAGGGAGTATGGGCATGTTAATGTCTGAAGCTGATGGATCTGATATCTTGGAAACCACCGCCTCACTTACTGAGGACGTAGACGTTTCTAACATATGTGACATTGAGGGTTTCAAAACCTGTGAAAGTACTTCAGATGGTTCTAGAACTTTGAGGAATACTTCAGAGGGCTCCGTGACATCCAGAGATATAGCTGATGGTTCTAAAAGAGGTTCTGAGATTCTAGGAGTCTCTGTTGCTGTTGAGGATATGGAAGGTTCTAGTGACTTTGAAAAATGCGGTGCTGCTACAGTGAGGCGTTGAACCTCTGGTAAAGAAACAAGTGGTTCTAATACATATGACAATAGTTCTGGAGGTTCTTTAGTCTGTGGACTTGGCACAAGAAGATCCAGAGTCTGCAGAGTGGACACGGGGTAGTTGTGAACTTGAGGTGATACAACATGTTCAGAACACAAAGAATTGGTCCCTGCCACTTGTGAATCAACAGTATGGTCTGCAGACAGTGGTTTCAATATCGGAGAGGCACAATTTGTTGCCTTAGAGTTCAACTTCGTGACTGAGGGTGAAGTAAAACATTTTGGTGGTGTGGGGTCATCAACTTTGGCACATGACTCATTGTCTTCCTTTTTGGTAGAGGCGGAGTTGAGGTGACAACTGTCATTTGCCTGAAGTAAAGGCTCAGAATTCACATTAATGAGAGGTACCATTGCCTGAGACTGTGCTGTCTGAACACTTTCGGTAAAAGGCTGGTTTATCCTGTTTTGATCTTTGGGGAGATTACTGGGATTGGATGAAGGGATGACTATATTGACATGTGTAGCTTCACCAGTTTCTGGTTCTGAGCTATGCACTCGACTTTGAAGGCTTTCCTCTGGTGATAGACTCGTGTAAAGTGTCTCTTCTGAATGCACACCACTCTCGGGAGATAGACTTGTGTAAAGTGTCTCTTCTGGGTGCATACCACTCTCTGGAGATAGACTCGTGTAAGGTGTCTCTTCTGAGTGCATACCACTCTCTGGAGATAGACTTGTGTAAAATGTCTCTTCTGAGTGCATACAACTCTCTGGAGATAGACTCGTGTAAAGTGTCTCCTCTGAGAGCATATCAGTCTCTGGTGATAGACTTGTGTAAAGTGTCTCTTCTGAGTGCATACCACTCTCTGGAGCAGCAACAGTAAAAGCTCCAGTACAAGTGGACAGTTCTTTTGATTCTTTAGAGTCTTTTTCTGATGAGCTGGATAATTCAAAGCTTTTTGTGGGAAGACCTGACAATTTAACCTGCATAGGTAATGATTGATTTGGGCAAGCTTTAGTTGGAGGCAAAATCTGACAAGTATTAACATCCAAATTATTTGACACTGATTTTTCTGGTGAACATGGCACAGGAGTTATCTTTTTGGACATTTTCCGAGGAGGTTTGGGTGAGGAATGCTTGAGAACAACCATTTGTGAATTTTGGCTGTTTTTCTTGGCAGGGGGCGGCAGAGGATACTCAGCATATGATTCTAGTGATGCTTGTGTAAGAAATGTAATGGGAGCAGGTTGGAATGGGCATCGCTCACCAAAGGTCCCTTTTGTTGAAAGACAAGAGAAGTCAGCATGTACCATTTCAAGCCATGGTTTGGAATTAACTGCCTCTATGTCTAACATGTCAGAATTAATTTCACTAATATGTGTTTTAACTGGGGGATTTGTTTCCTTGACAGACATGTTTTTTACTACTAACAGTTCATTTCCCCCTCCCGAGTCAATACCTATTTCGTTTGTATTTACCTCTAGCAGTGTCTCTGTATGCAAAGACACATTTTCAGGAAGTTCATTCTTTTCCTCCACATGCACTATTACAGGGTGATCTGATACTTGCTCAATGGGTACAGGGATAGTTGTAGTTTCAACCATCTCTTTTTCAACATCTTTGTCTCCTTCACAAGATGGTTCTCTTTCTGAATATTTAGACTGTTCTTTCTGACTGATTTTACAATAACACTGAGAGTCATAGAAAGTCTCCATTTCTTCAGTTTTGGAGCACATGTCAGTGTTGTTTTTCTGGTGATGGCTTATGCCACAAGAGCTTAGGAATGGTTCGTCCATTAGGGCTGACTGAATCCCTTTTGTTTGAGCTGAAGAAGAGTCCTGGCCCTCTTGCCCTTCTTCGAACTTCCTCCTTTCAGCATCCAAATAAGATTGTAGCATGCTGTCCAGGATGATCTGGAAGGAGTCCACACTGAATTCAAACTGTCGTCGTAGAGAGTTGACAAACTTGAGCTCTACATTCTTCCCGCTATTATTTGAGAGGGAGATAAGGCTCCAACGGTCATGCTCAGTGAACACCTTGACCATTTTTTGTACATAGGCCTCTTTCATGGTGAGAGCTGTTATTTTATCTTTGTTGACTCCTTTAGGTAGAAAGTCAAGCAGACAGCCCAAAACCACCTCCTTAATAATCTGGAAGTCCTCCGGTTTGGGAAGCTCCACACCAAAGATGATATCCAAATCTTTATAGCTGGTGCCGTTTTCTTTGACCAGCACGTGACTGGCTGTAGAGCCATTGAGACGGACATCTTTCACCTTGATTTTCTTCAAAATCAGTCTGTCTCTGACCACATGGATTATGTCTTTAGGCTTGATTTCAAGAGTTGGAAAATTGCCCCTGCCATGAATGGGAATGACCTCTGTAAGAACTTGGTCCAAAGTCTCCACCTGCTCTTGTGTCAGTTTGTGAAAACGGCGGTCATCTTCCATCTCTATCAGATTCACTAGATCTGGAAAAAAATACAGATAGAGATAAAATTGATTATAGATGTGGAGCACATACAGGATTCTAGTTATTTTTAATTAAGTGCAATATAGTGGCCAAACTTGCCATCAGTTGTTGAATTATTATTATTATTTTATGCTAAATTAAAATGTTTACATTTACAAAAAAAAAACAAAAAAAAAACAATCATGCATGTTGGTGCACATCTAGTGTATAAATACATAATTTAATTAGACCAATATTAGTAATAAACTAGGTGTTAAAAAACTACTGTTAGTAAACTGCAGAAAGCTTCAAGTTTTCAACGCTTTTTTCCATGCTTTTGTTTTTATGGTAAACTTTGTCATTCCATATGATAAAATCTGGCACCAACATTTTTTGAATAGGGAGCAAGACGCTGGATCAGTCGCTGACATTATGGGAATTAGGCGATTAGCACTGGCTACTGAGACAGCATTTCCCAGATTTCTCTAAAAAAAGGGAACAACCTGCACAGCAAAGAGGGAGTGTGGCTGCATCTTGTTCCCTATTTATGGAACCAGGGTTTTGTTTGTACCTGAGACTTTCCCTTTCATAGGTTCACTTGAAAGATTTGCAGGTAACTGGGAATTTTGAATGGGTTAAAGGGTTAGTTCACCCAAAACTTAAAATTACCTCATGATTTACTGACTCTCAAGTCATCCTAGGTATATTTGACATTCTTCTTTCAGATTAATACAATCGGAGTTATATTAAAAGATGTCCAGGCTCTTGCAAGCTTTATAATGGCAGTGAATGGCCGTTTGTGTTTTGAAGTCCATCAAAGTGCATATCCATCATAAAAGTAATCCACACAGCTCTAAAGGCCTTCTGAAGTGAATAGATGTGTTTGTGTAAAAAAAAAAAATCCATATTTAAAACTTTATCAACTAAAATAACTAGCTTCCACCAGACGGCCATACGCATTACGGAGGAAGACTAAACCCTGACCCGACGCACAACGTAATGACGAACTCAGAAGTGCAGAGGATAGATCAAAACAAAACATCAGTCACGAATTAGAAGTCTTAAAACGGCAATTTCTAAACTTCTAACCTCAATACTCCCACAGCCTACGTCATACATGCATCACTGGTTACACATGTAGAGGGCGAGAGCGAGGCTGCAAACAGCGGGAAGTTTGACGAGAGTGACGAAAGGCTGCGCGGAAAGCATTTGGTTTGGAAATGGTTTGGGCGTGTTTATACAAATGAGTAACTTATTTAGAATACTCCAAATTCACTAACATCAGAATGATGTTAAGAACAAATTCATGAGTGTACGAACGTGTTGTGAAATAGATAGAGATTTTTCCTGAGAAGTGTGTACAAATACAAAATAATCCATGTTATTATAGTGAATGAGACCCATTGTGATTATGCAATATGATATACATTAAATGTTGTATGTTGGATTAAATTGTTGTATGTTGGATCAAATTGTTGCATGGATTAGCTATTAGCTATCTGTGCATTCTCAATAAATTGCTATTGGCTCTTACCCCACCTGTTTGTGTGCATTACGTGATAGAAGGACCCCATCACTTATAGATCCAGCATTATGGGGTTTTGTATCCTTTCCCCCAACACGGAGAAGGAGAGGAGGGGACGAGTCAAGAATTTGGTGACACTACGCCAGCAGGGCCAGACGGTGGGTTGTCTGGCTCAGACATTTTTGACTTTTTCAGGAGGCACGGGATATAAGGATGCAGATTTGAAAGACCTTTTTAATTGCTGCCTTGATGATACCTTGCCAGCTTGGGAAATGCGGGGGCTGGAGATATTGGACTTTGACGGCTTTGTCAGATATCTTCGTTCTTGCAGCAGGTGGGATATTTCAGTTGGGTTTAGATTTACAGAAGGAGTGGCTGACTCGTCGCCGGTATCACCAGACAAGATGGCCTCCACACTGGAGCTTCCTACCGCTATTCCACCGCCTCACCCTTCATCGCTTCTGAAATGGAGGAGGAGAAGGAGGACTTCCTCTGTGACTGTTCCGGTGGTCCCGAGTTCGGGGGTCCGGAGAAGGAAGAGACACAGTCCGTCGGCCCAGTAAGAGACTGTTCACGTCACGTCTGCCCAGCCAGAAACTGTTCACGTCCCCCCTGCCCAGCCAGAGATTGTTCACGTCCCGTCTGCCCAGCCAGAGACCGTTCACGTCCCGTCTGCCTAGTCAGAGACGGTTCATGTCCCGGCTGCCCAGCCAGAGATTGTTCACGTCCCATCTGCCCAGTCAGAGAATGGTCACGTCACGTCTGCCAAGTCAGAAACTGTTCATGTCCCGTCTGCCCAGTCAGAGACTGTTCACGTCCCGTCTGCCCAGTCAGAGACTGTTCACGTCCCGTCTGCCCAGTCAGAGACTGTTCACGTCCCGTCTGCCCAGTCAGAGAATGGTCACGTCACGTCTGCCAAGTCAGAAACTGTTCACGTCCCGTCTGCCCAGTCAGAGACTGTTCACGTTCCGTCTGCCTTCATGGACCTGGACTATCTGGAGCGTCTGGCTCGGATCCTGGACATGTCTGTTTCTGCTTTTCCAGAGCCGGAGGCAGTGCCAGTGCCAGTTCCAGAGCCGGAGGCAGAGCCAGTGCCCGTTCCAGAGCCAGAGGCAGAGCCAGTGCCCGTTCCAGAGCCGGAGGCAGAGCCAGTGCCCGTTCCAGAGACAGAGCCGGAGGCAGAGCCAGTGCCCGTTCCAGAGACAGAGCCAGTGCCTGTTCCAGCGCTAGAACCAGTGTTTGTTTCTGTGTTTGTTTCTGTTTTTGTGACCATTACTGTTCTAGTGGCTGTTTCTGAGCCAGTGCCTGTTCCAGAGCCGGAGGCAGAGCCAATGCCTGTTCCAGAGCTGGAGCCAATGTCTGTTCCAGAGCCAGTGCCTGTTCCAGCGCCAGAGCCAGTGTTTGTGCATGTTCTTGTGGGTGTTACAGTTCTAGTGTCTGTTCCTGAGCTGGTGTCTGTTCTTGAGCCGGTGTCTGGTCCTGAGCCGCCCTGGTCGCCCGAGGGGTCTGCTCCGCCTGGCCGTTTCGGTCCACTTTAATTACGTTTGCCATTTGATGTTGTGCAACGTTGTGGTGGTCGCGCCAGCGCGGATTTTGGTCGGCAGGAAAAATGGACCAACAAATCGTTCGGTTTGTAATGAGTACTGAGCCGAAAGCTTCATGCCGAACGGTTCAATTCGAATACGTGTATCGTTAAACCCCTACTTTACATTGTAGCAACTACTCAAACTGGTGCCAGTATGTAAACACTAAAATATACGTTATGAAATGAGACTGACGTAAAAACATGAAGCCTAATGCTAAATTTATATGCATGTACACAAGGATGTTTTTATGTTCGGTAATAAAACACAGCATGATAAAAGTAGGCTAGTATGTGTGTTTACTCTAATATGGTGAATATTATAATGTTTAGACCCATGTTTACTGTTAAATATTGTGTTTGTGGATATCTGTTCAAACGTAGATATGTATAATGTGGTAACAATAATGTTTCATAGTTGGGAGCGGCTCGATCACTTGAGTAAATGTTCTCCGAACATGCTGTGAGTTTGAGTCACTCGCTCTGTGAGTTTGAAAAGCAAAACGTGCCAAATATTAGGCTTCATGTTTTTACTCCAATCTCATTTTATAACGAATGGAAACATTTGAAGTAACATGATATCTATATTTTCTCTAGTGTAGTGTTACTGAAGTGTTCATTTTTAACGATTTATAGGTTGCCAGCTATAGGCTATTGCTATTATTATTTTATGCAGCCCTACATGCCTACAACAAAAAATGAAACAATTACTTAAGTTTGAGGAAGGAAAAATAATTGACTTTTTAAATATTTTTTTTTTTAAATCAGAGTTGTGTTAAAGCTGCAGTCCACATTTTCCCCTCTTTGTCGCCATCTCTGTTCGCAATCTGCAATTACAGTCATTGACAAAATTATCAATTTATACGTGAGTTGTAGTTCAACACGGCACAAGCGCGGATGAACACATTGAGGAGAGTGTGCAGCTGTCAATCACTGCGCCGGTGTGGATACTGGGATTCAGAATCACAGATTATTCTTTTTGGAAATTGGAAGTATGACTAAAATAATCCTTTTCACCGGAAAATGTCATCAGAACAAGTAATTAACATCCACTTTTGTTCTGGTTCTGACATTGCAGTAAATCGCACTGATTAAATCTTACAATCGCTTATCATCATGCAAAATCATGCAAATTATACTTTGTTCTCAACTTGTTAATATTAACAATGTCAGCATTGCGTGACTATGTCCTTCTGATATGTATCTTTGTTTTTGCATAAGTCCAGTTGCAGTCTCTTTTTTTCTGTATAGCCACTCCAAAGTCCGAACGAAGTCTTTTGCTTTTTACAACGGGTGAATCTATTGTCACTGGTGACGTTTTAACCTTTCTGTATCCACCATCAAATTGATAAGTTTAATTATATCAAGTGCTGTGAGAAAAGGCTATACATCTCCACCTCAAACATCCTCACTCGCAATATAGCTGACTAGCCGAGACTCCTTCTTTATGTATGTGACGTAATGACGCAAAGACATGCTCGAATCTCCCGCGGAAATCCACCAGTACCACTGGAATTAAAAACATTATTACAAGTTTACCGCTTTGATAGTGTTGAACACTGGCTGGTTATGTATTTTCTCAAATAAGTATATATATGTATATATATATATATATATATATATATATATATATATACTTTTTTGTAAAAAAAAAAAAAAAAAAAAAAGAAAAGAAATTATGAGGTGCCCTTTTTTCACTTGAGCCCATGTCCCTCAAAGTGTCTGTGCACATCCCTGCAAACCCGCATGCACTGCTTCAAGTCAGCCACTGATCGTTCTGCGCAGAGCTGCATGAAGTCGAACAAGCCTAATCTCTGGCCATTAATCTTGACTGAGGGGGCGTCGCCTCGTGATGTCCCTATGACTATGGCGTCATTACCGATACGTCACGGCAGTTGAATCCCACATGCATGACTGACATAAAGTGAAATTTCACTGTCGGTCTCACTTTAACTGTCCCTGTCGTGACTGATTATTCACTTCGACAAATGAGCTTTATTAGTATTTTTACTGTCTATAGACAGTACACACACACACACACATACACACACACATGAATGTGCACATTGGCCGTGACGCTGCAGCACGATGATGTTTTCCTCCCCCGCCCCTCTCGCGCGCACTCTCCCGCAAATAAACCGCTGTGAGTCATCGATGTACTTCTGCTCATCCATTCACAGTTACACGCCAGCAGGTTCCAGAAAACCAGCCTGTTCTTTATGCATTTAAACGCGCATAGTACATTACAAACTTCATTATCGATTCACAATTTATTGTACTGAACATATAATTCACTTTATTCACCATGTAGCCTACAATAGGCTACAGCTGCTTACAGACCAAGTAGCCTATATTAAAAAAAGTTCTGGCAAATGAGGACACATTCTCAAATCACAGGAAGACAAACGAATAGCTCTTAAACGTTAGACCAAACATCGACAGGTCAGAGGAACAGTGCATTGCTTAGCCTGATGTGTGCGCGTGCATGGTAATAAAAAATTATATGTGGAATGGATAACAGTAGCCTAAAAATGCTGTCGTCATCGCTAGGCTACCATAAAAGTATTCAATTACTAGCTTTCTTACACTGATATTCACTAGTACCATTGTTGCCTTCCCAGTCCAACGTCATAAGGTTTTTCAAACTTTGGCAGAGAACAGCTATTGTAGCGAACTAGCTATTTGTAATTTAAATTTAACAGTGGTCAAATCATGAAGTAAAAAATATAATAATAATAACAACAATAATCAACAGTCGCCAATGTCATTCTATTACAAACATTTAGTCAATACAAATGAGTTAAAGTCCACACAAAGATGAGAGTTTCCAACTCACCACTCGATGTGCAGAAACGTAAGACTGGCGGCTCGTCAAGGTTGATCTCCAGGGTTAATCCGACAGTGATTTGGTCATCGGGTCAGTCGTCTATGGTTCATTAGCTGAATTCCAGAGCTGGGAAAAGCTGCAGGAGCGCGGTCGCTGTTCAGGCAGATAGCGCTTCTGAAACTCTTAAATATCCCACACCTTCAGCTCTCTCAGAGCCCGGAGCTTAAAGCAGTTTCCATGGCGACCTGGCGTCAGAGTTTTGAGGTAGTCCACGTAGTGCGAGTCACAACAATGGCACATCATAAGCCCGCGGAACGAGAGTTAACAGGTGTCAAGAGCGAGCGCGCACGTATGTGCATGTAACGTTACGTTAGTGATTAAACGACAGTGACACTTGTGATGGCCATCTATTCTAAACAGCTTTTTTCTTTTCTTTTCAAAATAAATGGGAAAAAAAACATTAAATAAAAGAAGGTTACCATGTTATTAAAGGCCTCTGAGAGAAAAATTATAATAAAGAAAAACGCCGTTTAGATTGATCGTGTAAAATCAGTTACAATCTGTGCATGCTGGCTATAAAACTACACTTATTTCTGTGACTGCATTTCATTACTGGTAAACTGTTCAGGACAATTTAGATGAATAAGACTTTATCTTTAATCTCTGAACATCTTGTTTAGTTGGTGCAGTTGAAATGTCAGAACGCAATTTATAATTCCCACACTGCCATTGGTTCTTCTGCAATACAGACATTTCCTTTTTGGAAATTCCACTTTATTTTACTTATCTCGGTATTTTATTTAAAGCTGAATGATACCTTCAATTTAATATTGTCAAATACGATGAATCTACCCAACATTGTATTGTTCACACACATAGGCTCGTGGTGTGGGCTTTTACTGGCAGTGATCTGCTTGGATGCTCTGCACAGGCGCTGCAGTGCTGTGTTATATCAGCCAGCGAGTGACTCATCCCTCTCTTGCTCTCATGATGAAGAGAGACGCAAAACCAGCCATCAATCAACCCCTCCCTCATGTACACGTCAAGGATAGATCTCTGCAGAGACTTGTCATGTCCAATACATAGGCACTCCTCTTTTGACTCTTTTTAATGGGCTACATTTCTATTTCTACTTTTCTATATAGTTATGCAGAGTATGATGACAGTCTGATCAAACACGCTTACGTGCAGTAATGAAATTTGTGGTGGTGGTGGGGGGATTTCTCCCCATTAAGATAGAATTTATTTATATGCCTAGCTTAAGAGTAATTTAAAATACTTATGGCTAGGCTACGTTTTTGTGGACAACATGTTTCAAGCAAGCTCAGAGTAGATGATGGCAATTAGCAAATTTCCATAAATAAATCCGACGTCACTACGCCTCTAAATGGACTCTGGCACAGTAGGTTATATTAAAACTGTCTTGTTGGCGCCTGCTTTGGATAAACTCCCGCCCCTGTGCGCGTGACGTCACGGAGGACGCCGTCAGTGACGCGGATGAAGCGTGACGTGTCTGCTGCTTCTCTGGCTGGATGATGCGAGCTACATTTTGTTCTGTGATTGTGGAACCAAAACAAGCGTTTTCTTGTTTTTGGTAAGTTGTCTAATTGTAAATCTGGAGGCTCAATATGGACACCTCAGTTGGAATTAATGTCAATGAGTGGCCAGAGTTTTGATTTCACTCAATGTGAATTGGGCATTACAAACATTTAAAAGCTCCATTAATTTCTTTTGTGTAAGTCATAAACTGTTAGCTCTCACAAAGCTCTTATTTAAGGATTATTTAATTAATAGTTTTAAATAGGGTCATTATTTATAGCCTATCATTATGAGTCACAAGCCTATGAGTCATAAACAGAAGATTCGCTTTTGTTCTCTACTAATTAACCTGTAGTCAAATCTATTTATAGCCACGGTATCACAAAATATAAGAGCATAGAGGAAATGTAATGATAATAAAATTTGAAACATCAACTATAAATAAATACAGCACATGATAACCCAATTTTGGCAAAATATATGAAAAGGGTAGAACAGGATTTTTCTAAAGAGCTTTCAAATTCTTTGATGAAATCACTATTGCTATTAGATTTATTTTATAAAAAAGCAAATAAGGTGTAACGGTGAGGCAAGGACAAATCCAAATGCAGTCACTAATTGTAATAATAATAATCAAACAAAAGGGCAATCCAAGGAAAACAAAGAAACTGGAACTGGAACTCTTAGTGAGCAATACAAAAATCTTAGTGAGCAATACAAAAAAAATGTCAAGAAATAATTTAAGTAAAAAGGGAAAAACACTTGAAACTCATCAATCTATTTGATTTGATAGAGACATAGGTTTGCATCATGTAGTGCGTCGTCATGCATCATGTACTTTATGTATCCTAATCATCCCCATATAAACTGTATTGCCAAAAGTTTTGGGACACCCCTTCAAATCATTGAATTCAGATGTTCCAATCACTTCCATGGCCACAGTTCTGTAAAATAAAGCAGCTACTGTAGGCATGCAGACGATTCAACAAACATCTGTGAAAGAATGGGTCACTCTGGAATTCAGCATGGTACTGTGGTAGGTTGCCACCTATGAAATTTCCTCACTACTAAATGTTCCACGGTCACTGTTAGTGGTATTATAACAAAGTGGAAGCAATTGGGAACAACAGCAACCCAGAGCGGGGTCAGCGCATGCTGAGATGCACAGAAGTCGCCAACTTTCTCCAGTGTCAATAGCTACAGACCTCCAAACTTCATGTGGCCTTCAGATTAGCTGAACACCAGTGGGTGGAAAGCATCATGGAATGGGTTTCCATGGCCGAGGACCTGCATCCAAGCCTTACATCAACAAGTGCAATGCAAACCGTTGGGTGCAGTGGTATAAAGCACGCCGCCACTGGACTTTAGAGCAGTGGAGACGTGTTCTCTGAGTGATGAATCACGTGTCTCTGTCTGCCGATCTCATGGACGAGTCTGGGTTTGGCGGTTGCCAGGAGAACGTTTCTTGCCTGACTGCATTGTGACAAGTGTAAAATTTTGTGGAGGGGGGATTATGGTGCGGGGTTGTTTTTCAGGGGTTGAGTTTGGCCCCTTAGGTCCAGTGAAAGCAACTCCCAATGCTTCAGCATACCAAGACATTTTGGACAACGTCATGCTCCCAACTTTGTGGGAACAGTGTCACTTTGGTGACTTCGGGTGTTCCTTTGTACCCAGGAACCCTGCATCTTTCCTTCGTGTAACACATTATTTGCCATTGTAAAGTATTGTTAAAAACCTCCTTGAAAAGTACCCCTTATCGCACAACGTTGCCTTGAGGCAACAAAAAGAAAAACTGAATTTGTGAACATGCAAAATAAAAAAAACATAATAAAACCTGCCAGAAGGCTTTTCTACACCTTCATACAGACACACATATTTTTTATATACAGTTAATGTCATTTTAAAGAAGATCACTAAAGCACATAATCTTGCTTTCAACTCACAACATGTGCTCCTGTGACCATGTGCCAGAAAAGGACTTCCCACCTTCAAATGGTGCTTGATGGTGACTCCCAAACCTTATTGGACTGTTCTTTGATACTTTTTCAAACTTTCTAATTGGTTGCAATCATTAAAAAAAAAAATTACTGAACATAGGGCTTAAGAAAACTTTCTGTTGCCTGAGGGCAACGCTATGCTGTAGAGGGTTAAGAGTCTCTTAAAAGCAAAATAACTGTCAGTTACAGGGAAATGGAATTTACATATATGCAACCCTATTTCCAGAAACGTTGTTGGGATATTTTGTAAAATGCAATAAAATTCGCAATCTGCGATTTGTTAAATCTCATTTTTTAACTGACAAATGTACAAAAAAAATGTTCCAATGTTTTCAATGACCAACATAATTGTATTTTGTAAATTTAAACAAATTTTGATATTGATGGCTGCAACACACTACAAAAAAGTAAAAAGATTATCCAAGTGAGATTATCCATCTCTTTTGAAAGGTCCACAATGAGCAGGTGAATTGGTAATAGGTGAAGGAATCGTGTTTGGGTGTAAAAGAGCTTCTTAGGCCCTGTCCACCCCACTGCGTTTTCGTTAAAAAACGGAGAATTAAAACGAATACGATCTCCGTCCACACCAGCATTTTATCTGCGTATTAGAAATGATCTCCGTCCACATTAAAACGACTGAAAACGCGGATCACGTGACCATTCACCAACACTGGGCATGCGCGTGCCGGTGTAAACAGTGATTGACGAATCAGTGAAGGATACGTCGTGACTGATAACACCCAATCATGGAGCCAAGCGTCAGCCCCTGCGTCAGCGTTTCTGAAGTCCTACGTTTTGTCTCGTCCACATTAAAACACCCTCCGGAGATTCAAAACGCAAAACGGAGCTTCTAAACTTCTCCGTTTTAGGTCTTCGTTTTTCCCGCTTTAGTCTGGACGGGATGTGCAAACGTAGCAAAAGGTCTCCATTTTTAAACGAAAACGCAGTAGTGTGGACGGGGCCTTAGTCTTTGCAAGCAAGGATGGGCCATGGCTCACCACTTTGTGCCAAATATCATGCAAGAGTTGTCAAACAATTAAAAAGTCACATTTCTCAATGTAAATAATTTATGTCTTTCACCATCTACCATACATAATATTGTGAAAAGATTCAAGGAAATTAGAGAAATCTGAGTCTGTAGGACAAGGCAGGAGACCTCTGGTGCATGTGTGTGACCTGTGAACCCTCAGATGGAATTGCACGAGAAACCACTATTACTGTGTTTAATACAGCCACATGGGCTCGAAAGTACTTTAGTTAACCGTTTTCACTTGACACAGTCTGACATTGCACCAAGAAATGCTACTTGAATCTCTGTTATGCAAGGAGACGGAGATGCCGACTTGTTTTCTGGGCCCGAGTTCATCTCAGATGGTCTAAAATTCAAGTCACCTTTATTTATATAGTGCTTTTTACAATACATATTGTATCAAATCAGCTCCACAGTGATGACATGAAAATAATACAAGAAGTTTGTTTCTAGAAGAAAATTGCGTCATCGTCCACCTGAAGTAAGGCAGATCAATAATATTGTTGAATATTAAATGTCTCCAACTGAGCAAGCCAAAAGCCAAGGCAACAGTGGCAAGGAACCAAACCTCCATCAGTGACAGAATGGAGAAAAAAACTTTGGGAGAAACCAGGCTCAGTCGGGGGCCAAT